GCAAAATATATGAATATATATACATAGGTGCATACACTTACATGTATATTTTTTTGAATAAAAATTCAAGAGGATAGAATCTAGGTAGAACTCAATGTCAGGACAGAGTAAGGATATAATAAAAGGCTTTAGATATATATATATATATATATATATATATATATATATATATATAGAGAGAGAGAGAGAGAGAGAGAGGAGAGAGAGAGAAGATATATGGATAGAGTAATATTGTGAGAAAGAAATAATGGATTTTTAAAGAGACATCGAGAGAAAAAGACGGTAACTGAATTATTAGAGACTGGGTAAGTGGAGAATAAATTAGTTCAGAGAGAGAGAAGGAGAGAGAGAGGGTGAGTGATGAAGAGAGAGGGATAGGGAGTGAGAGTGATGGAGGGAGAGGGGGAGAGAGGGAGAGAGGGGATAGAGAGAGAGGGTGAGAGTAGATGAATTTTCAGAATATATGCTCGGATAGAAAGGGAAGGCGTGAGAAAGAAAGAAAGAAAGAAAGAAAGAAAGAGAGTGACTTGGTGAAAGAGAGAAAAAATACGGGAATTATCAGAGAGACGGAATGGGAGAGACGGAGAACCGAGGAATTATCAAAGACAGATAAAATCAGAGAGAAGAAGAGCAAGCCTGTGGATAAAGCAGATCGAAAATTTCAAAGAGAGTTGAGATATCGAAAGAACAAAGTGGGAAACGAGGAAGATAGGCGTGTTGATAGAGTAAGAGGGAGAGTAAAGGGAGATATAGATAGACGTAGAGGGAGGGAAATAAAGGGTTAAAAAAAGAGTGTTTTTCGGAAGGAGAATGTCTTCATTCGGCAAAAAGAAGGACAACTTAAAAACAAAGAAATCAACGGATAAAAAAAGAATGGCAAAACCTGACGAAAGGCTTACACGTTGCGTATAAACCTTAACTTCCACCGAGACATTTGCTAGATGCCGACAACGCTCGCTTCTTATCGAATAAAGCATTTAATACAGCAAAGATTTAATTAGATGGTTGATATGCCAGCCTCGTTATCATTTGCGCATCTTGCAAACGTCTTCCGACTGCCGTCTTGGAAGTAATTAACGTGTAATAAGGTTTTCCCAGATATACAATTTATTTCGATGAATAACATAGTTTAGAACACGCTACATATTCATAGGTGTAGCCTAATGGTTACTGTCTCGAAAAGAGGACTCTATGTCTTCTATATCTTTCGTCTCTCATCAGGGCGTTGACGATCATGGCTCTCCACAATTTCCTGTCCTTTGTCGCGCTACGTAAATTTCTTTTTGTTATTCATCCTAAACTCTGTCCCACCGTGCATTTACTCAAACTAGTTAAATATGTTATGCTTTGTTTTCCTTTGTCCGTCTTGCTTTTAATCTCTCCTGTGAGTATCAGATTCTCCAAGCCAACTTTCCTCATTATGTGACCCCCAACATTTTCAACTTTTTCTGAAGTTAAGTATAAGTTTACTTTTTGTTTCCATTTTCAATGGTCATTGCACATGGTATCCTAAGAATTCGTCTGCAGAACTAAACTTGTGTTGTTTCTCTTGAGGAGATTGTCCAGCATTCGCTGCCATATAAGTGGACTGTTACCATCTGAAAGTTCAATACTCTTCTATTTGTTTCTAAGTTTTTCTGTCTCTTAATACTCTGCTTAGCTTTGGGAAGGCATCTTTGGCGATGCCAATACGTCTTCGAATTTCAGTGTCACACTTTCCGTCCTCACGTAAAATTCAATCAACGCAGTTCTAACAAAATCTATAAATCGAATGAAACCCTGTAGCATTTTTTTTAATCTTTATATGGCAAAAATCCAAGTGCACTTCAAAGTGGTGCAATGGTTAACAAGCTTGTCTCGCAAGATCAATTACGACGGAATAGTGAGTTCGATCTTCACTAAGTGCTCCATAGTTTCGGCCTTGTGCCACATTTAAGCTACGTTTAATAAATCGTTATGGAAAAAAAATAAATTATAAGTTTAATATCGTTACACTTTAAAAAATTACTGATTTTGATATTATATTCTTGCAAGACAAGCTTTGTTAACCATTACACCACGTTGAAGTGATTCAGGGTTTTCTAAACGTACCTTAGATGTGACACAAGGCCGAACATATGGAGCAGTTAGTGAGGATCGACTTCACTATTCAGTCGTAACTGATCAAGCGAGACAAGCTTGTTAACCATAACACTACGTTAAAGTGATCCAGGAATTTTTGAGTGTAGCTTAGATGTGGCACATGGCCAAAAGTGTGGGGCACCTAGTGAGGATCAACTTTACTATTCAGTCGTAATTAATCTTGGGGGACGAGCTTGTTACACCACGTTGAAGAGCACTTGGCGTTTTGTTTTTGCGATATAAAGATAAAAAAAATGCTTTCATTCGATTTATAGATTTTGTTAGAACTGCGTTGATTGAATTTTCCTGCCAATCGCTGTTTTAGTGAGTTGTGTCATAAATGGTAGAAGGTTATTAGCATTTTCCATGCTGTATTTTTCTACTTTTATTGCCTGGTTGCACTGGACTATTTGGGAAAAATAGGAAATTGTTGTTTACTGGAAATAAATGACTCTAAAGTTGTTGACGGCTATTTCTTCTTCATGGGCGCCGCCATCTTGGACCTGATAAGATACTCTGCCGTAAAGACTTATTTAAACGACATCTCAAACAGCTAATGTAATAAAAAAGATATGTCACAAAACAGGTCACATTGTACGTTGCTATGGAGCTACGCTGCCTTGGAAATATCATTATGCATTAGTTTATAATACAAACATTAGGAATCCATATTTCTCGATGTAATGAAAACATACACGTACGTCTAAAGCAGGCAATGTAATTTTTGAAAGACGTATGACTACGTCCACCGCAGTCAAAGCGTTGACTTATCAAATTCTTTATTGGTTTTAAAGATTATGATCGATCTATCTATCTATCTATCTATCTATCTATCTATCTATCTATCTATCTATCTATCTATGTTTATTTATTCTTTCCTTTCTAACGGTTTTGCTCGATGATATTAGATGTACTTAATGGTTAAGAAAGCGACGACTTGGTCGTAAACGCGTTTAAACAGGTAGTGATAAAAAGCGGAATTTTTTTTATTGGTATCGAAGACAAAGTAGAAAGATCTACTTAGCACCCTGTAACATTGACATCTCTTTGCTGAGTTTATGATATTCAGAAATCATCTTCATTTGTCTCTCTGAGCAGTCGACAACGAACAGCAGGCGGCTTTTCTGTTTAATTCTTAAATATAGCGAAAATACACAGATAGCCTTTTCGTATTCTTTTAACCCGTCCATTCAGTTATTTAAAAAGAAAAAAAAACAGAAAAAATACATTTATAATTGTAAAAATTATCGTCATTCATACGAAACATTTAAACAGCCAATCAAGTTTAATTTAGCTTTCCTCTTTTTTTTTTTTTGACCTCGCCTCAGAAACTCAGAAAAATGAGTTTAAGAAATTTTAATCCGAAAAAAATCTAGCAACATTCACGCAATTCCTCTGTTGGTTACAAATAGCTTTTAGTGATTAATTAGTTTAATTTAATTTACTGTTTTTTTTCTAAAGTACGATCGATATACTCGTCTTTTCAATTTTATCTTTTTTAGTTAAAAAATAACCTTACTTTTAAGTGAAAGAATTTTGACGCGATTTGGTTGTTGCAAATACTAAAGTTTCTAGCGTGAATGTAAAATAAATGAGTTTTATATTGGCTTCTATAAAACTGCCAATTCATTCTTGTTGATAATTAAACGGAAGTATAATGAACTGATTTTCGAGGTATTACTTGAGAGTGTGTAACTTAATATCGAACTGTGTTTGAAGTTTATTTCAGTTGATAAAATTGGAGTTTTATTAGGTTTTCGAATCCTTCTAAAATCTTTTCATTCTCTTTCATTACTTGTAGTCACTTCTGTCTTTCTTGCTGGCATCATTGCCGTGTCTGAAGTTTAAAGCAATCTCTAGACATTTTCACCCTATTGAATTATTTTCTCTTTTAATTAGAAGTAGCATTTTTTATGCCAAAATTGTGGTCAGTCCTGTTTACGTTGAACAACCAATGCGTTTTGTGTGTTGTCTTTTAAAATGTCTCTTTTGTGTTTATATAATCTCTTCTTGAGGTTTCTTCAATATATTCTTTCTAGCAATCCTTGCATTTGATAGAGTAGATTCCTCCTTCAACTTTTGGCTTGTTTTGTATTCATTAAGTATTTTATTGTTTTAGATGTTGTGACACAGTTTATGTTGAGTTTAGATAAATTCTTTTCAAATGTAGTTATGTAAGAGTTAGTGAGTACAATAATATATTTTTTATTTCTTGTGATTGACAATAAAAGACTTAATCAATACAAATTAGAACAAAAGAACAAGCCAAAACTTGAAGGAGGAATTTATTCTATCACCTGCAAGGATTGCCAGAAAAAATATATTGGAGAAACCTTAAGAAGTTTAAAGATAAAATGTAGTTTGTTCGCCTGAGGTCGGATACTAAACTTTGATCATAAAAATGTTCTGATCATAACAAGGGAGTATTGATTCATGCGTAAATAATTCCGCCATTTCTTCACCGCCATCTTTTTCACCGGCATCTTTTTCGCCGCCATCTTTTTCACCCCCATCTTTTTCACCGCCATCTTTTTCGCCACCATCTTTTTAACCACCATCTTTTTCACCCCCCATATTTTTCCCCCATCTTCACCCCATCTTTTTCGCCGCCATCATTTTCGCCGCCATTTCTCCACGTTCTCTATCCCAAATCTCAAATAAATTGATTGACAGACATTACCAAATGGGGTTTAAAATTAAAAAATTAAATTTAAATTATTCTAAAGTCAACAAAATTTAATTTTAAATCCCTCAACACTAACATTTTTTTTATAATCTAATTTAATTCTATATTTACTTAACAACTAAATAATATTATCATAAATTATAATTTGAATTATTTATTAAAATCTGTCTGTATATTACGGCAAAACTAATCATCAGAAAATATTTAAAGAGAGTGTGTGTGTGTGTGAAAGAGAGAGAGAGAGAGAGAGAGAGAAAGAGTGATAGAGATAGAGACAGAGAGACAGAGAGAGAGAGAGAAAGAGTGATAGATATAGAGACAGAGAGAGAGAGAAAGAGTGATAGAGATAGAGAGAGAGAGAAAGAGTGATAGAGATAGAGACAGAGAGAGAAAGAGAGAAAGAGTGATAGAGATAGAGACAGAGAGAGAGAAAGAAAGAAAGAAAGAAAGAAAGAAAGAAAGAGTATGAAAGCGAGAGAAAGAGAGAGAGAGAGAAAAAAGAGAGAGAGGGAGAGATGACACAGACAAGCGCAATTAGGTATGAACAAGTAGAATCCAAACGCCACACCTTAGGCTCATTAGAGTCAAGGACTGCGCATGTGCAACAAGGGAGGCCATTCCTGGAATCGGTAACAATATGCAAAGATAGAATTCGCCATAGAATTACTGATCGATTGTACGGACCTAACAGGGGATTGCCAAAAAGAGTATACACGAGTAGAATGTTTATTTATTCCTTTTTATATATGATGTTTTTACTGTCGTGGACGATCATAGCTTTCCACGACTTCTTGCTTTTTCTTGCCCTAAGTCTTGCCTCTTTAGGCCCCATGTTTGTCGTTGTAGTCCTTGGTCTGAACTTAATCAACAAACTAATTAATTATCAAATTAATAATTAATTAACTAACAAATTAATAAATTGGCAAATTGACTCGTCTAGTAGATTATGAATATATATATATATATATATACATATATATATTTATGGAGCAGAAATGATATATCGATAGAAATCGTCGATGATGTGTGTTTATAAGCAGTCATTTGAACTTTGCTAACCAGAAGCTCACGTAAACAGCACGTCAGGGCAAATGACGTTTTCTGCATTTAATACAGGTTCTATTCCTTCTGAAGAATCCTTATTTTTTACGAAATTTCTCGGACACTGAGGCCGGTAATTGTCATTAATAATGTTTAATTAAAAACAGCAAACACTCAAATAAGTTGTATCCATAAAAAACAACGTATAAACATAATATATATATATATATATATATATATATATATATATATATATATATATATATATACTAGTAATAATCTTATAAGTATAAGAAACTATACTCGTTCGGAAAACCTTCGGTGTCTTGATTTTCAAATAATCAAACTAATACCAAAGGGGAAAATAGGTATAAAAAAGAAAGAACCAAGAACATGTTTATCAGCCGAAAATAATCGTCTAACATTCAAGTCCAGAGTCCAAAGAAAAAAAAACCCCGAAACGAGTAAGTAAAATAACTATTAGGTCGGTGCAAAAATAATGTCGTTTTTTGACGTAATTTTTAACGTTAAAAAACGACATTCTAACGTCATTATTTTTGCACCAACCTAATAAATAAAGTGCTCAACACACTAAGTAGACAAAACCTAATTAAACCTAAAAAGCCAGACAAATCTACCAAAGTTTCACTCCCCTGACGATCCGCGTGACCAGAAACTTTGGTAGGTTAAATATGTTTCTTTAGGTTTAATTATATATATATATATATATATATATATATATATATATATACTCGAATCATCGTTGAATTCGACGTATGAGGGTCAAGCAGATCAGTTCCTAGGAAACTGACAGCTCGACACCCGCACATAAGATTTGATTATAGTCGTGAAGGTTTTGTGCAGATTCATCCACACATACAGAAACTTGGTGCACTACGTGTCACAAGGTCCCCAAATGACCCTCTGCAGGTTTTGAACTCAGAGTTGCCATCCAAGGCTATAGAACCCTATCTGTCCTGCTACTATATATATTGTCAGGTGAACGTCTTCTATAAATCATATATATATATATAAAGATTATTTTATTTTAGATACACACACACACACATATATATATATATATAATATCAATCAGACAAGTGATAAATTTTATTTACATTAATCTTATCTATCTATCTATCTATCTATCTATCTATCTATCTATCTATCTTTACTGAATCTCTCCCAAAGTTTGACGACTGAAGTCGAGGATATTTTAGGTATCTATTAGCACAGTAATATATATAAATATATATATATATATATATATATATATATATGCGTGTGTGTGTTATATATTTATGTGTGTGTGTTATATATATATGTCTGTGTGTGTTATATATATATATGTCTGTGTGTGTGTTATATATATATGTTATATATATATATATATATATATACATATATATGTCACTATGTGTTATATATATATATATATATATATATATATATATATATGTGTGTCACTGTGTTTTGTTATATATATATGTCCATGTGCGTATATATATATATATATATATATATATATATATATATATATATATATATATGTGTGTGTGTATTTGATAATCCACTCAATGACTTTGTCAATGCGAAAAGAAAAAAATAATAATGCCATTCTATTCAAATATTGAGAAATTTTTACTTATTTGGTTGGACTGAGAGCTTTTCAGCTGTTATCTTCGTCTGCCGACATCTGCTCCATTCAGAAGATGGAAACGTCTCAAAAAATATTCAGGCCAGCACGTTTAGAAATTTGAAAAAAAACAAAAAACAATTCGATTTGTTTCGAACTGCAAAAAACAATCGATAACGAAGATCATATTCAGGAAATGAATACATCGACATTATTTTATAGGACATCGATTCCCTTAAAATCATACTTACACACGCACACACACACACACACATACACGCATTTTATATATATATATATATATATATATATATATATATATATATATATATGTAAGATATTACATGAAAACATGTCAAAATCGCAATAATATTGCTCTACATTCTATTGAGCTCTCTTTTAGATTAAATGTTACTAACGTTGGAATTGTACTCTGTCCGTTCTCTTTCTTCTTGGATATATATATATATATATATATATATATATATATATATATATATATATATATATATATATATATATGCAGATATGTAGAAAAATAGGAAAAGAACACGTTAGGTAAACAATCCTGAGTTCTTTAGTTTTTTTATTTTATTTTTATAAAACAGTGCTTCATACAGAAGTAAAGCTTAAATTATAATTATTTTTCTTTATTTTTTAATTATTTTTTAAAAAGACGAAATCATATTTTTTCAAAATAATTATTATATATATATATATATATATATATATATATAATATGCCAAACATGCGAAAATCACTACACGATTGCAGTCTTGTTTCGATGCGTATCAAATGCATCTTATCAGGCGATTGTAAATTAAATGTGTTACGTATTTGACATGTTTTCGAAGTAATATCCTAAAAATGCAATGAAAACTAAATAAAGAAAATTAATAAAACGTTCCATGTCTGTCATAATCAATGAAACGTATTTAAAAGATCGCTTGCTACATGCATTATATATATATTTAGATATATATAGTTGGATTAATGAGAGTTTGTGACCCTGGCTTTTACACTTTAGTGATCGAAAACAGCGTGAAAGCCAGGGTCACAAACTCACATCAATCCGACTAATTATGTTAGCCATATCACTGATATTGAGCGCTTTCTAATAAGCACCGCGCATATATGAAATATAAATAATATATATAAAATAGTTTGCATATATATATATATATATATATATATATACAAGGAAAGTTGGCTCCCTGTGCCGCGCCAGGAAATTTTTCTCCCTGGAATTGATCCTTCAGATCTAGAAATCGACAATTTGCGCTTGCATGGACTATTGCTGCCATATATGGTCTGGAGCCCCTTCTGTTTGCCCTGGGGTTCTTGATAAGATCTAGAGATGGACATGCAATACAATTGGCCCTGATCTGGCATCTCGTCTGCAGTCGCTCTCTCACAGACCCGCCGTCGCCTCTCTCTGTCTTTTTTTACAAATACTTTCATGATAACTGCTCTGATGAGCTGCATTCGCTGGTTCCCAGACTTCATGAATTCAAGCGACCTACGAGGCTGGCATCCCGCTCTCACCCTTTCACTGTTGAAACTGTTAAATGTAGCCGCCTCTTCTACTCCAATAGCTTCATGTCTCGCACCTCTCGCCTGTGGAAGTCCCTTCCCTATTCCAGTTTCCCTGAGAGTTATAATCTCCAACTATCCAAATGTAATGTCAATCGACATCTCCAGTTGCCTGGATCTATCCACTATCCTTCTCCTCATCCTTTCCTCTATCACTCATATCTGATCTTGCTCCATATCTTCTGTAACCCTTGCGTCCTAGTGGCTTCCCGTCTTGTTTGGGGTGAAAAGCTTAAATATATATATATATATATATATATATATATATATATATTTATTAAAGACATATTTTTATGTTTAACGTTGTTATTTTATAGATACAAGTATTTAAGCAAATGCTCTGTTTATGATAAACAGTATTAAATAACATTTACCGGCCTGAATGAAATTTCATAGAAAATTTTCGTTCTTTGACAGTATTCGAACCTGCATCCTATACGGAACCGTCATATACGCTGACGTGCCTTTACCGCTTGAGCTACAAAGAACCAATCGGTAGACAAGGTCGAATTTACTGCTTATAAACTCAACTTTCCATGAATCTCGTACATTCATAACTGCTCTGGCGTATCGAATGTAAACAAATGACGTCATATATTAAGAAATGGACAAGGTCCGACAATTTTATTTATTAAAGACATATTTTTATGTTTAACGTTGTTATTTTATAGATACAAGTATTTAAGCAAATGCTCTGTTTATGATAAACAGTATTAAATAACATTTACCGGCCTGAATGTCCGAGAAATTTTCATAGAAAATTTTCGTTCTTTGACAGGATTTGTTTACATTCGATACGCCAGAGCAGTTATGAATGTACGAGATTCATGGAAAGTTGGAGTTTATAAGCAGTAAATTCCACCTTGTCTACCGATTGGTTCTTTGTAGCTCAAGCGGTAAAGGCACGTCAGCGTATATGACGGTTCCGTATAGGATGCAGGTTCGAATCCTGTCAAAGAACGAAAATTTTCTATGAAAATTTCTCGGACATTCAGGCCGGTAAATGTTATTTAATACTGTTTATCATAAACAGAGCATTTGCTTAAATACTTGTATCTATAAAATAACAACGTTAAACATAAAAATATGTCTTTAATAAATAAATTGTCGGACCTTGTCCATTTCTTTATATATATTTCATACAAAATCTACTTTTTGTATGAATTATTTATTGTAATATAAATTGAACTGCACCAGATATTTGATTTAAAAGAAATGATCCAACGTGCAAATTTTCGGGATAACAACTGAGATATTATTCTATTTATTGAACAATTTAGTTCATGCCACATTGACTGAAAAAAAAAACCCACCTACAACAAAAAGATTCTCCAATTACCATATTAAGATAAAAACTCACTCTCTTAAATTTTCAAAAAATTCAACCTTAGCGTTGCGACTGCACGCTCCATAAGTTTCTATTCGTTAACCATAACACATTTCTATCAAAAACATATTTCGATTCACACTTAATTTTTCGAGTCCGCTATTACCCGCGTCTACTAAAAAAAACAAAATAATTTCCATGTCTGAGGATGGCTGAATGTAGAGCCGAAAGTACTAACAGAAGAAAAAAGAAAGACCTTATATAAGTTGAAGTTATTAAAAACAAGGATCATAACATTCATCGAGTGGTTCGTAGGTTAATGTAACTTTAATAAAGTTGTTTGCGAGGATGTTTTTCGCCATTTATATCATTAACTTTACTAATCTACATTTTATATGAATGATTCATGTAATATAATTTGAACTGCACCATATATATATTATATATATATATATATATATATATATATATATATATATGAAAAAGTGTATATAAATATAAATAAATATATATATGTATAATTATTTATATATTATATATGGTACTTATTGAAAAATATATATATATATATATATATATATATATATATATATATATATATATATATATACACACACACACACACACACACACACACACACACACACACACACACACAGTTCAATACCTGGCCGCAGCAGAGTTCTACAGGAACTTCAAGAATTTAGTTACTAAAGGGAAATAACTGCGACATCAAGAAAAGATTTGGAACTGGAATCACCTGACATTTTTGGTTTTGTCTAAAAAGTATTTGTTACGAAATAAAATCCTTGCATTCGCCTTAATAAAGTTCCTCAGAGGATGCAACAAAATTTTCCTTTCGTCTTTATTCATATTGTCCTTTTTTACAGACAATCTGAAATTATACATACATACATATATATATATATATATATATATATATATATATATATATATATATATATATATATATATATGCAGTTGCGAAAGGGGGATATGTATGAACAATACATTATACAATACATTTGGGCGGATACGATTCAGCTATGCAAGAACAATTAGATCTAATAAGATAATAACAAAATTCCATGAGATTCAGTATCTGAGATGAAGGTAGAAAATGACTGAAAAATATGGAAGAAAACCATATATCGAGGTAAAGACAGGTAGTGAAATCACACAGACACACACACACACACACATATACGCACACACACACACATATATACGCACACATATACACAGACAAACGATTTGCAGCCGAAAAGATAGAAAGAAATAGAGAGAAAGAAAGAGAGCAAACAGTCAGAGAAGGAATAAAGACAAGGTATACAGAAAGAAAGAAAGAAAGAAAGAAAGAAAGAAAGAACAAGAAAGAAAGAGTGGGATATAAGAAAGAAAGAACGAAAGAACGAACGAAATAGAAAAAGGAGATGAAAGAAAGAAAGAAAGAAAGAAAGAAAGAAAGAAAGAAAGAATGGGAAATAAGAAAGAAAGAAAGAAAGAAAGAAAGAATGGGAAAGAAAGAAAGAAAGAAAGAATGAATGAAATAGAAAAAGGAGATGAAAGAAAGAAAGAAAGAATGAATGAAAATATAAGAAAAAAGCCAACGTCTCAGAAGTAAATAAAGAAAAAACTAGCAGAAAAAAAGAATAAAAAAATCAAAAAGAAAGAAAGAAAGAAAGAGATTAAAGAAAGGAACGGTTTCAAGTGAAAAATACAGACGTAGTTTAAACAAAAATGGAAGACGGAAAACAATTCGTTGGATTTTTCGGAAAAGAGATTTTTCAGTTTCGAAAGACTACGCACAGATTCTTAGTTACTAGGCAACGTCAGGCAAAAATGTCTGAACTTTGTATCGATCAAAGATATCGTCTTCATTGCCTGCATTATCTTTTAGCCTACATTTCCAGCAGATTTTGTTGTCTAGCTGCACACCATTATATATATGTTTACATACTTACATGTGCACTAACCCAACACACTCTCTCTCGCTCTCTTTCTATCTGTCGATATATATATATATATATATATATATATATATATATATATATATAGAGAGAGAGAGAGAGAGAGAGAGAAGAGAGAGAGCGATGTGTGTGTGTGTGTTTGTTTCTTATATACAGGGTGTCCCCCAAAAATTGACATCAGTTTATAACATAGCCAATTTTCGCTATTTTGATAAAATGTGTAAAAACTAATTTGACTGTGTGGACATATCTCAATGACAATCTACTTGGGAGATGGATCTGTCCTGCCAGTGATAATGACTGCTGTCACCACATTCACCTGTCTTAACATCTTGTGATTTTTTTCTATGGGAGTATGTGAAAGGATAGGTCTATATCCCACATCTTCCAAAAAGCCTAGAGGAATTTAAGCAGAGAATTACTCAGGTGGTGGAGAATGTTACGCAAGGTATACTACAACGTGTTTGGCAGGAGCTAGACTACTGATTTGACGTGTGTTGTGACACGGATGGTGAACCTTTGTGAAGCTTTGTATTATCGATAATAAAATCAACTTCCCTTTCTTATATCAAATCCAAATATTGATAAATAAATATTTTATTGTTCAACATGAAGCCTTTTAAATTATGTCAATTTTTGGCGGGGAAACCATTAAATTTGAATTTTATAGATGCTTGTGTTTGTGTAGAAAGCTTTGTTTTTAAAATGGGATGGGTAAATTGTGCCATTTTACATTTTTAATTTCGCGCATGCGCGTTGTTTCTTTTTCATTTTGTCGTCTGCACAGTATAGTAGGGTCCGTGAGAAAATAAGAACGATGCAATTCACTCCGCCAGAGATTTGGAAAGCTGTACTGCTTGGCATTCGCACCGGAAGCTCCAACTGGAAAATTTCAGTGTTTGAGAGTGTCAATTTGAGGACAGTGTAGAGGACTCGGAAAAAATTGCATGAGTCTAATTGTGATTACAATATATGCTTTCCTTCATAAAAGTAATTGCAACTTGCTTTGCTGTGTCTCTGGTTTAAAAGCTCGTCCCACTGAAAAATGGTTTCTTCCAAAATATGCTTCGCCGATTCGAACCCTGTCGAAGGGGATGAACCCTTAATTAAAAAATCTCAGTTTGAAAAATTTAGACCTTCACACAAGCACCTGTATCCACTAAACACGCATTCGTAGAAGTGTTTTCTTTTCTGGGCGTAAAGTATGTAAAACCTGTCCAAACGTTCCATATATCGAAGCGCATTCTATTATACCCAGCAATCAATAATATCGACCATGATCACAGCCACAACATGCTGATGGTGTTTGGAAAAAAATACATTTTCATCTGGCAATTTCCCAAATCTGGTTCTTTCCCAAATATTTTACCAAAACAATCAACATTCGTCCGATATATTGATGCAAAAGCCACTGCTCCTCCTGCTACTCCTCTTGATGTAGGTGTATTATTATCTTTTTTCTACCTCACAACACTAACTAAAGTCGAACATACAATAGAATTTACATCCTAAATAGAAGGAAGCAATACTTTACCTTTCCTAGATCTCATGCTACACTGCATGATAAGCACCACCAAAAATTATATATATATATATGACAAACTGGGAAAAGTTTTCGTGTGACAAGTTTCGCTCTTTAGGACTTTATCGAACTAAGTTTGTTGACGCGATTACGCATGTGCAGGAACCAGAGACGTTGGGAATTAAAGCAATTATAACAAATTTTTTGCAAAAATATTTTCAAGATTTTAAAAAATATTTTTGCAAAAAAATTTGTTTTGTTTTTTTTAATAATGTGTTTTGGGTATATAATCAAGTCAATTTCATTTAGTCCCAAAGTGTTCTTCGTATATATATATGTACCCAAGATCCTAATGTACAACCAGTTAGATCAGCGCTACAGGAATGTAGGACGCCCATGAGTAAGATACAAAGACAAGCTGAAAAGCAACTTGTCAGCAGTTAATATACCACATAGCACCCTTGAGCGCTTAGCCTTGGAGCGGGTAGAATGGAGATCAACGTGTTTTAATGGACTCAGCAATTTTCAGTCTGCTTGTCTGAAACACCTTCAAGAAGTGAGAGCAAGATCTAAAAGGTCAGACAATCTAACCGTGATCTCATCTCAAAATCCTCACACTTACTTCATATGTGTCCTTTGTAAATCACTAGCGGGTCTTAAATGCCACTTAAGATTATCGCACAAACTTTCATAACTGAATCAATTAGCTGTCAGATCCTCATATGTCGGAACCGACAGGAGGTCCATTATATATATATATATATATATATATATATATATATATATATATATATATATTGGCTGAACCAAGAGACCAAGATGTACCAAAATTTGTCAGGTTAAGTTCAAGTAAGCATATCCGTGTATGACAATCAATTGGACAGCACCATTTAGAGAATGAGCAATGCTCTTCGAGTTTCACGACTCACTCATTCTCTGTTTTGCATATAGGCGGGTCTAAGCACCATTTGCAAGTATTAGAAGCTGTTTGTCTTAAATTGCAGCAGCCATCCCTTTGTGGACAAAAAGAGAACTTATCTATCTATTTGTAAAACTTTCCTTAACTATAACAAGCTTGCTCCCACAGCTGAACAATTAATTTCTTTACAGTCTTATTCTTGAAGAAATATATTGAACGTCCACAACCTTTCAACATTTCATAAATTGTGAACATTGATCCCACAGAAAAACAACTAATTTTCCTAGAACAATTACCAGGTTGTTTTTCATTCACGCAAATACATGTATTTTAATTCTGTCAACGCCTGTTAAATGTTATTCAGTTGCTTTTGTTTAAAAACGTTTAAAACTCTTATGATTAGATATCTGAATAAAATATTGCTTTCTTGTATGTTTATAACCAATTTATGAATGAAATGTTCATTTAAAATTTTTGTTTCAAAGATTTCAAGTAGTGAATATATCTTATTTTGCAAAGGGATAGCGAGCGGCCGAAGCCTGCTAGCACATTATATATATATATATATATATATATATATATATATATATAGGGGGGAGAGAGAGAGAGAGAGAGAGAGAGAGTGAGAGAGAGAGAGAGGGTTACGGTGTGTCTATATATGTGTATGTTTTGGGAGAGGGGGGTGCGTTGAATCTGGTGGTGTGTTTTCGACATTTTGTGAGATAACCTTAAAGATACGTAGGCAAATGAGCCAACGTTTATTAAGCATATGCCTTTTTTTTGTCAGTGACACGTGGGATATTACCAAAAGAGTAAATGAATGACATGAAACCTATCTAATTTTCCCAAAATAATATTTTTGCATCGTTTGGAAGAATAGAGAAGCCTTTGATTATCTTCTTCTTCCGACCGTAAAATGAAAAATCATTTTCTATGGGTTATATACTCGCGTTATCAATGTCAGTAACTCAGGCAATTTGTCTCACTTCTGGCTACCCTCAGACGTGATTACTGGCCCCACCGATTGTTCGTTTTATCTGTTCACGATGGCGGTGACATTGGCACCAAATAGTTAGACGACGCCAGAGAATAAAGTTCTTTTTCAACCAACAGCAGCATTTACAGTGTAGTACCATATTAATCTTAATCACAATTCTAGACTAGTCGGATCGTTACAAAATAATTGATCCAAGCTTTCATTCTCCAACCAAGAACAATAAAAAGTCATTCAAAGCAGACGATTAGAGGCAAGCCATTTTAAATGATAAAGGGAATGAAATTGAGTGTGTCGCCATATTGGATTTCGTTGTTATCTCTGATTGATTTGTCTCATCTGTTGTCATGCGGAAGTTCGCCTGATTTTGTCGTTTTTATGAAGTCGGAAAATGGCTATGTTAGAAATCAGTTCGTCCAGCTTATTTCGCTTGTTCATTTGGCGAGATGATACCTCTGAACGCAGTCGTTCTATAAAAGGAAAAAAAACGATAAAAAACAGACGTTTGAAAAACGCGGTACTTTTGTACTAACGAACCGATGACGAGAAGCGGGTTTACCTGTAGGTTGAACCGAAGAGAAGTATGCCAAAATCTAGACAAGTAAATTGCTAAATATCATTCATTAGTGGATCTTACGAATTCAACCAACAATAACTGGAAAAAAAATCTATCCTTTGAGTTGGGTTGGTTAAGTTTATTAACAAAAGGTCTCTTCTCTCAATAATCACTCCGGTCTGAACTGGCTGCTTTGTATTTAGAACTTCTGTAATATAGATTAAAATGTATTTAGTAACACGCAGAAATGTAACTACAGGTACACCTACAGAAGACTGTAAAGGAAAACAAGAAGAAAGGACTAAGCATGAATTCAAAGAAGACGTAATCTGTGGTCGTGAGCAAGAGGAAATTCTGGAGTGTGAACAATAATTTGGAGGTTGCCAAAGTCAAGAAAGTACAAAAAAATTTAAAGTAGTGTTTTAACAGAGGACGGAAAAAATGACATCGAAATCTGAGGGCGCATTAGGATAGCGAAGATGCCTTCCACAAGCTAAACAATGTATAAAGAAACAGGAAAATTTCGTTAGAAACAAAGAAGGCTGAACTCTTAAATAATGTCGGTCCCCTTCTATGACAGTGGATGCTGGGCAATCTCCTCACAGATGAAGAAGAAGAAACCCAGGGAAACATAAACAGAAGGATGCTGAGAATCATCATCATCATCTTGCGGCCTCAGCCGAGATTGAACTCACTACACCTCTCCAGTATTCCCTATCTGTCACAGCACCTAAAAGATCTTCGTTAGGGATCAATGTGTCACGTTTTATCCTATCTGGAAAGGTTAACTTGCGTGATCGATTGACAGATGATGGGTGCCTCCAGAGTACAAATGATAACACAAGTTCATCTGTGGCACGTGCACAATGCCCGGCGAACTGGACACTTGCTGAGAATACCATGGACAGAGCATGTGAGTAACGAGGAAGTTTCATAGAAACAAAAAGGATGCTTATATTTAGAATCAGAAAAAAAGAGTTGACATTTGTAGGACGCGTAAATAGGAAAATAGGCTTGGAAAATTTGACACTCACAGGACAAAAGAGCGAGTAACATATCGAACAAACTGGTGTAAATGGATGGCAGAATAGAGAGAGAAGGGATAGCAAAATGAGACAGGTTACTAAAAATTACAATTGATAGGAAGTTGTGGAGAGCCATAAAATGTAATGTCCTGAACACAAAGGGCACACCTCTCTCGACCATTCTCACATCTATGTCGACGTGTTCATATCTCCCGCTGTTCCTATTTCTAGATTTATTTTCATGCTTATGCATGCATTTATTTATATCCCCCCACCTCCGAAATTCAGAATGTGCTATGTCTTCATCCCATTGAATGAAGATAACACAATTGTGAAATATAATATCACTTGGAGTCGACGTAGCCTTACCGAATTCTGTCGTATGGATATAAGGCTCGCTGCCCGCTAGCTTTCTACTGACGACTCTCGGTGTCAGTATATATGCTATTTGGAAGAGTTCTGGAGATCTGTGTTCACCACAATAGAACGTTATTTTTGAAAGTTATACGACTGTTACAGGTTGGAGAAATTACGGAGCGCTCAACTCTTGTGCCAGACTAACCAAGACGCACTAAATAACCTTTTCTCTTGCTTTCGATCAGAGTCTATTTAACTGAAACGTTTCATGTCCTTGTTTAGAAAATGACGTAACCGGACAAACCGATCTAGAACTTTCGCTGTATATTGTCCGGTATGTACATTTAATATTAGCTACAGGATTAAGTGCATTGACAAAAGAAAAGAGTATTTTGGAAAATCAATATTTATTGCGAAGAATAATGGGGCTACGGACTTAAGTCTCGGTGGTGTTGACAATTTTTGAAATAGTTACAGTTACTGGAGAGGCACTTAATAACAAGTGAAAACTGTGTTTGTTTTAATATATAATCACAAATCAATACAGAATCCTAAGAATAGAATATTCATTGCCTTTTGTCGGGGTTGGGCTAAACTACATCCTGCGGGTTGCAAGCGACCTGTTTGAGGATTTTATACGGCCCGCCAGAGCACACCAAACATTTTTAAAGTTCATTAAAAATGTTATTTTATTGGTTACATGTTGATGAAAATAGTAATCTATTCCAAGGAGGAAAAAGAGAACAAAACAGAAAGCATACACAGTAAGTATCCGGCTTACAACAAACGATTCGGGGTGAAGACACAGTGTTCATTAATTTTGTTTCGCCTTACGCCATTTGCTTCGTATATACGACGCAAACGGCGCGGCAGAAAATACATTTCCCGGCGGAAGAATACATCGTCATACGGCGCGTGAGTGAAAAAGTTAACGTAGGTCAGTTCCTGGATGTACGCCATATTGGATTGTTGTGTATTCGCTCTCTTTCGTTTGTGTTGTGTTTGTAGAAACTTACTGACCTTCATGATGGCCCCTAAACTCTCCGAAAAGGGAGACAACACCGACGAACATGGGTCGGTGGCTTGGCTTAAGTCGTTCAACTGTCGCTTAACCCATTTACATATGCGGATACATATTGAGTTTTTCTGTAAGAGATAAAGACATTTACTTTTTATACTATTGGGTTGGTGCATAATTATCAGGCGTCTTTAAACAATATTTATTATGCCCCCCCCACAAAAAAAAAACAAAAACATAACAATTCAACAATAAGATTTTTAAATGATTTCTCCGGAACGTATGATTATCGACACGCATTTTTATAACTTGAAAATAAAATGATATTTTTATTAAAAGAAGTAAACAAAACAACAATTTTTATTGACAAATAACTCGCCTACAAAAACGCCTGATAATTATGCACCAACCCAATATAAGCTGGTAAATTCCCAATAAAAAAAAGAAAAACAAACTGTTTTTCTTTCTTTCCCAGATTTACTGTTGCTTCCAAATACTGCAAAAGAAAGAAGATCTTACGCTTCATCATCTCATCTATGAAGAGCCAATGACATCACTGGCAATAGATATATAAGCAATATGAAAGGAACTTACTTAAAATAAATAGACAAAACTTGTCTATATTATTTAATGAAACATGTATCAATATATATATATATATATATATATATATATATATATATACATATATATACATACCGTGTGTGTCAAAACAATTTTGTCGAATTGTTAGTTTTGAACCGTTTTATCAAACAAAGAAATTATTTAAGATATATTACTACAAGGTTTGAATAACACTATTGAACTCTACTTTGAACAATAAGAATATATAATTATTCTCCAAGCTTACCAGAAGAATAGCAGTGAAATTGATCATAAATGAAAATGAAATGTTCATCATTAATTAATCATAGTTAAGGATTGGAAGTTCATGAAGGATTGAAATAAAGTTCATTCCAGGATCATTTTCCAATTACAAGTTATTCAAGATGATCTTCGCCCTATCTAACCTTCTAACTTTCTGTCCTGTAGTCATAAGGTGCCTCACAGGTTTCGCGTACTATTTCATTTCAAGTCTTTTTTCACTGCTATTTGGACTTTCATAGCTGAAACACATCTCTCATGTGCCAAACGATTTTAAACGATTTATGAATTGAGTAGGATCTTATTGATATCTTTATCACTAAGTTGAAATGATGATCGCTCTTGCTGTTGTAACTTCTTGATCCAGATTTCCTTTCTACCGTTCCTTTTTTTAAACTTATTCAACGTTCTCTTGATGATTCTTGAATGGACTTTGAAGATGGAAGCCAGTGTTTTAAATGTTGATACCATTACTAAAATCTAGTTGGGAAGACTAGTGGGTCTGACACAAAACGATTTTAACATGTTCTCTTTCTAGCTGAAAAACTCAAACGGATTTTCTGTGATTCTTACGACAAAATGTGTCAAGATGGCTAAACGTCCTATCTGAAAACCTTAAAAAAAAGAAACCCAATTAGTTATTCCATGCTGTTATACGATTTGGAAAATGTTGCTTTTACAAACGGTATATATATATATATATATATATATATATATATATATATATATATATATGAAAATTTTCTAACAGAAATTACTAGACTCCCTAGCAAACGTACACAACTGTGTCAAGAAATCAAAAGAAAATGGATGAATTCGTCAAAACAACAATAAAAATATCCCACACGTGAAAGTACTTGACGTAATTTTCAGTTGACAATATTAATACAATAGCGTTTTCTAAATTCTTCCAGTTGCTAAGGACATTTGGTTTTCTTGTTAATAGTTACTTTGTTTTTAATAATTTTCATTTCGTTTCTGCCTTGAAAATCCACATTGTACGAAACGCTCCG